TATCTATATGAAACAATTGGTATAATCTTTATTCATCCCTTATAAATTAATTAAATGATTGATGATAACAGTAATTCTAAAGGAATTGGAAATGTTAAAAGTATCACTCTAACACAAAGTAACGTGATTTGAGTTTTAATGATGATGGATATCCCCTTACCTCATTGATACTTTCTTATATGAGGATATATTTACCATGAAATAAATCAAGATGTTATATACGTAATACCTTGATAAAAGTATATATCAAGTACATATCGAATTTTTATTGATGTGTTGCATTTAGGGGGAGTCCTTACATACTTATTTATCATCAGTTATATTGTTGCGTTGTACTCTTTTTCTTTTCTCCCTTTTGACCAAGGTTTATTTTTTCCCATTGGGTTTTGTTACTCGGTAAGGTTTTTTTATGAGACAACATAATATGCACCATCCCACATTTTAATTTTGCGAAAGTAAACAATGTTGAAGAAAGAGCATAATTACTATATCGCAGTCAAAAGTAATTGACGTGTAGGTTTTAGTGCACCATACTCCCTTTTCACTTTGACCGATGTTTATTTTTCCCATTGGGTTTTGTTCATTGGCAACGTTTTTGCAAGTTAATTTGAGAAAATTTCCTACGCTTGACACGCAGGGGGAGAATTAAAGGAATTATATTCCTCTATTGTGTGCCTTCGCTAAGGTAATTAATGTGACAAGTATTGAAATGCACATATTTTACAAACACCCTTGATTAATGTAAGTATCAAGGGTAGATGCAGACTTGAGGGGGAGTACCCCAACTAGATTACGTTACACTCTTTTCCTTTACCCAAGTTTTATTTTTTCCCGTTGGGTTTTGTTACTTGGTAAGGCTTTTAATGAGGTAACGATACATATAAACTATAATGATCAAATAAAGATAGACTTAATGAAAGAAGCCTATCTTGATGCTATACTCCTTTTTCTTCAGTCAAGGTTATTTTTTTCCCACAGGGTTTTTGTTACTTGACAGAGTTTTGATGAGGCAACAAGACTGATACCATCATTCTATTTACAACTCGGCACAAGGGGGAGTGTTGAAGGAAATTACTTTAATGTGCATTCGTTATAGATAGAAAGTGTATCTAGGGAATATATGTATTGGGCTAATTGGCTCATTGGCTCATTCCTTGTAAAACCCTAATCCCTCCTATTTAAAGGGGGCTTACTAATGGAATGAACACACCTCTCTCACTTCCCTACAACACGTTTTTAAATCTTTGCAGCTTGCATAGTTGGTGCATCTTGCTGCTTATTACATTTCGTTGCTTATTACTTGTAGTAGACTAGATTGACACTTTCTCTCGAGTGGGAAGAGCCGAACCCGAACTCAAAAATTGACCATGGCCCAGCCCAAAACAAGTCACTGGTTAGTGTTTTTTTTCTTTTTTGACAGCCCGAACAAAAAAAATAGTGAACCCGAAAGTTCGGGCTAACTGACAGTCTCTAAAATATATAATCCGACCCAAAGCGGTTAATATCCAAAATAGTTACATTTAATATAAAATCAATATAGTTGATGGAGTATATGACCCAGGAACCCCCGGCCCACAGACTCCTGCTACTCTAACACAGGCCCAACAGGCCCAGGGAGCACAAGAGGCCCAAATCACAGCGGCCCAAGTGCTGAGTAGCCCACGGTGCACCTACGAGTACCTCCGCCCCCTGGCCGAGGGCTCCAAACTCCAGGAAATAGCCGATCTTCTACATACAGAGCTACTGGGAGAAAGCGGCGAAATCAGAAGCCTTCAGCTACTAGGTAGCCCTCGGCTACATAGCCCTTGGCCATGTACAGACATCAGAGATTCCCTTAAGAGACAAGCAACAACCGCATTTAATGCGGCGTCACATCCGCCCACCGCATTTAATGCGGTGCACATGCGTACGCCAGTGTCACCCCGGTTGAGGTGACCTCTCCACCGCCAGATTATTGACATGTATCCTTATCTAGCATTTACTGCTGCTATAAATAGCAGCCCGTTCTCCAATGTAAAGCATCACAACTTTCCTACTCGAATACACACTCCCTCTCTTACTTATTGCTCTGACTTCTCTCTAAGTTATCCCCGTAATAACCCCTCGGATAAGCTACCCGGGTACCAATATTATTTAGAAGTAATTCATAATATGTGATTAAAATAATCATGGTGGATAAAATGACATGATAACTTTTAGTGACTGCAACAATTTCATATATTGTAATCTCCATGAAAATATACTCCTATTAACTTTGGTAACACTTTTAATTATGAATTTTATTTGATTACATTTTTATAAAAACCTCATTCATTCATTTATTTTGTATATGTATCTTAAACGCCATATTAAGAAATATTATTTTATCTGGATTTCAATTACTATTTGATTATATATTATGTTAATTATGTTCTTTGGCAAGTCGCAAATAGACCTAGCGGATAGCTCCCTAGTGATTTTCGTTTAGATTTTTCTTCCACCACTTTAAGCGTGTAACATTAGTTTTCTCCGGCCGGCGTTATGTTACGCTTGTTGTTCGGTGGCTATTTTGTACCATTTGGAGTTGGTAAGGGGGAACCACGGAGATTGGCGAATTTTTGGCGAAATTTGTGTCTGAAGTACAATATTGACAACGAGCTAGGAAAGGGAGAGGATAGATCGGCGGTCTGTCCCCCTCATGGACTTCCGTCGTGGAGTGATCAAGAAAACTAACAGGCAGAAGTTTCGAGTATTTAACAGTTTTTTTTTTTTGTTTTTTATGGTCCTATTTTCGCGTTGTATTTGGTTACGTTGCTTTGTTTTTTGTTCATGTCTTTAGCGTTAGGTCTACAATAATGTTTTTTACTTCTGGATTGTGGCAAGTACAACATAGGATAAGTGACGAAAATACATCGTCGATCATGATTGGTTTACAGTTGCTCGAGTAGGGATTAACGAATCCTATTGCTCCTGAGTGGGTGATAGTTCCTGATGATCCCAAATTGTATGGTCGAATAATATTATGTGGTCTTTCTTTCTTGGCTACTGTGTCCGATCTTGTTGTTGTTTGGTTGGATTCTATGATTTTAATATAAGACATTTTCTCTCAAAAAAAAAAACTTACTACGGAGTCTTTGATTAATTTTATTTTAAAAACAGATTGTAAATATAAAAGAAGCACACCCTCGTCCCTTGTTCGATTCGTCGTTGCCTGAGTCCAGAGCCGTGCCTTATGTGAGGCTGGCGAGGCTTTGGCCTCAGGGCCCCAAAAAAATCGTAAAACTTAGGGGCCCAAAATTTATATATATTAGTATTATACATATATATTTTCTAATTATTTTTTATTTTCCCCCTTGGGAAGTACAAATAAAAACTAGTTCGACTTCTATTTCTAGGATTCTAGGCTCCAAGTTCTAAAGTTAATTTTATCATCTATTTTTTTCTTATTTAGTTATTTGTTTGTATTTTCTGAAATTTTCTAACTTTATATTGATTTGCTAAATGCTAATATGATGTATAATCAATTTGTCATGCGTGAATACCAAATGGGCTAATTTGTAAATACTAGTTGATTCTTGCATGTTTTTTATTATTTAGTGCTATCAATATTGCAATTATGGAATTCTCGATTCACAATTAATTAAATGAAATGCTTTCTATTTATAGAAAAAATTATTAAAATAAGTTGTTCAGGATTCCATTAAATTATGTATTTATTTATTTTTTAGTCTCATACCTCCCAAATCATTGTCTCCATTCCAAAAGAGGAAAAGAAAATCATGTATTGAACATTAACTCAAAGTCAGGTCAGAAACGTTAATAAGTAAGTAGTACTAGATTTCGAATATAAGAATCACTTCAAAAGTACATCTTCAACTATGTCTCAAAAAGGTTGGATGTATTAGCTCTGTTAACAATTGAGAAGGAATTCATTGATATGGTTAATACATTTGCATCTAAAAATGTTCAACAAGTTATACTTAACTTAATTAGTTTTTAATACACCCAATGCCATTTTGCTATAATGTAAAAAGACTTTAATTTAATAATTGTATTTTTGTGATATTTAATCAATTGAATTTTAATGAATCTACATGACAAAGAAATACTATGTACATTGTACCGGATCCATTTATGAAGCTCTAGACCCGAGTTAAGGTAGAATCTGCGCTATGCCTGACCATGCGATCACCCACAAGCACACCCCGTTAAACCGTACATATTCAATCCTATTGAAGAGTAAACAAAACTTAAAAAAAGCAACAAACGAAACAATCTTAATGGAGGGTTCAGCAGACGCTTGAAGGCACCATCGTGAAGGCGTATCTTCCCACTAGCAGTCAAAATGGTGAAGGGACGTCAAGGAGAGCGCATCAGACTCTATGTCAGGGGGACAGACCTTGGTTACAAGAGATCGAAGTCGAACCAGTATCCAAGCACCTCATTGTTTCAGATTGAAGGAGTGAACACTAAGGAGGAAGTGGGTTGGTACCAGGGAAAGCGTAAGACAAAGAAGAACGGATCTCACTACCGTTGCATCTGGGGAAAGGCCAGTCGGCCTCATGGAAACAGCGGTGTCGAAAGAGCTAAGTTCAAGTCCAACTTGCTGCCCAGAGCCATGGGAAACAGTGTCAAGGTTTTCATGTATCCTAGCAATATCTAAATGAAGAAGATGAAGAATACGACTATTGCTGCAGTGCTTCAGGGAGCCTACTCTTTATTTATAAAATTTTCAGTTAAACATCCTGTGTTTTTCATATTTACTATTTAGACAACTTTGTTGTGTGTTGAATGAACAAACACATGGTCTATTACTTCTGTCATTTGACATCCTTTTTAACTGCAATATCTGTTTTGTTCACAAAAGAACTTGATGGCGTTTCTTCTTTTGTTATAAAAAAAAAGAAAAGAAACAATCTTAATGGCATTCAATCCTATTGAAGGGTAAATAATCTTAATGACAATTAATGAAATACGAATATGTTACATAAAGTCAAATACAGAATTACACACCAGTATGACTCGATTACATAATACAGAATTACATATAACATGAAAAACCACCGTCCTTTAGTTTAATATGGAAAAAGAGGAAAAAAAAGAACAGAAAAGAAAGAGAGAAAACATCCTCGTACCAGTTTCCAGTTTGTCAGAGGTGGGGAGGAACTGCATGAACTGTTTATTGAAATGGGGATTTTACTTGAGCTTAATAAAACCAAGAACAAGGGTATACAACAATTTAAGGGTCCAACCATAAACTTGGAGGTTCTGACCAAGAAAATTAATTCTTGATCATGGCCGCCTGTATGATCATCGGGTTATGATAACCCAATTCTCACACTTGAAGTCTTCCCATATTGGAAGCCTTCTCATTCTTCATAATCATATGGAACAACGTTGCCCGATCCTCCTCCACAATCTCCCCGAGTAGCTCGTCCTCAATCTTTGGGGCTTGCCAGTGAGACGGGTCCTCCACAAGATCTTCACTGAATATCATACTCGAAACCCATTCCTTCCATGTTGTCCTCTTGTACTTCTCCTCTTCTAGTGTCCCAGTAGCTAAGAGTTGATAGACGTAAACGACTTTGTCCTGACCGGGCCGGAATGCCCTCGCAATCGCCTGTTTGCTCTTTGACGGATTCCATTCAGAATCCAACAAGATCACCCGTGACGCAGCAGTCAAGCTGATCCCTTCTGCACAAGTGGTGATGGACGCCAACATTACCTTAGACGCCCCTCCAGGCTCCTCAAACCTATCCATAATTCTGCCCCTCTCGAAAAGCTCGATGTCGCCTTGAAGGACGAGAACTTCCACGCCTTTCCGCCACCCGTAGAACCGCTCAAATATCTCCAAGAAGAGGGTGATTGGGGCGATGTTGTGGCAAAAGATCAAAACTTTTTCTTTCCGGAGTAGACAACGCGGGATCAGGCTCATGACGAATTTGACCTTTGACCCTACTTTTAAGTCAAACTTGAATTTCTCAAGTGCCTCCAACTCTTCTGGCTTAAAGTATTGACCGGAACACGCCGTGGTTTTGATCAACCAAGGGTGGATCGCCCCTAGAGTGATGAGGAGCTCCAATTCCAGCGGGAACCCTTTGTATATAGGCCTTTGGTCTTGTAGCTTCACAAGTATCTCTTGCTGGAGGGTCGTTGACTTCATCATCAACGTGTAACATTGTAATCCGGGAAGGTTATCGGAGCTCCCACCTTCATAAACATCTATGAACCCCGTAGTGAGTTTCTTCAGTATGTTCAGCCCTTCTTTCCTTTCCTTCTCTTTATCTGAATCGATCCTTTTAGATATTTTATCAATGAACATTTTTCTTGCTCGGTTTTCTAACGAAAACCGACTCTTTGTACCCTTTGCTTTCTCCTTGTACTTCGGGTCAAGCTCCTTCAACACCTCGTCAACGAACCTCGGTCTCGCCAAGCAAAGAGTGTTGAAATACTCCCCAAAGTTGTTCTGAAACAACGTTCCAGACAACAGAATCCTAAGATTCGTGTTGACTTTCATCAATGCCTTCCTTAACCTAGACTTTGTGCTCCTAGGATTGTGTCCCTCATCTAGTATGACGATCCCTGGACACTGCCGTAAAACCTGGTTCATATATTTCCTGTGTGCATAGGTTGAGTCTTCGCGAGTCAAAGTCAAGAACGAGGTGTAGCCCATGAGGAGGACGCTTGGGTGGTCGAGCCACTTCTGCATCTTTTCAAGACAGTCCAAGACATGCATGACATCCTGGTTTCTGGGCAGACCGGGACACAATTTCATCTTCTGTCTCAACACTTCTCCTTTGTAAGTTTGACCACCGTGGATTTGGTAAACCGGGATCGGGATCTTCCACTTGATTATCTCCTTGTACCAAGTGTACAGAGTTGTTTTTGGGGCGAGGACTAGAGGCCGGGACCCAGGGAACAGTTTCAGGTAGCTGACAAGGAAGGCAATGATGAGGAGAGTTTTGCCAGCTCCCGGGGTATGGGAAATGACACAGCCGCCTCTCTCCTTGCTCTCGGGGTCTATTTCGGTTGGGATAGTGGAGCCCGCGATGTTTCGCCAAAGGAATTGAAATGCTCTTTTTTGGTGGGGCCGCAGCTTGTTTCTATGATCAGGTATTAAAGCCCACACATTGTCTTCCACTTCCCCTTCGGATGAAGGTATGTTGGAGGAAGAGGGGGGGATGGTGAAGTGTTCAAGATCAGCAGCAGTGTCATCTTCCTGCTTTTGATCTGTGTCTTCCTCAGGTTTCTGATCCTTCCCTGAACCTGAGATTGTTGAAGGCATCTGTATGAAGAGAAGAGGACTCATTACTATTGACTAACATAAGTGATTACCATAATATGAAAACCAGATGATGAGATGAATGTCTTCTAAAAGAAATCACTGGTTTGGAACTTTGGATGTGGTTTGTTAAAACTGTTTTTAAGAAAAGTTATTTTGATAAAGCAGTTTAAGTTCTACTTAAAAGTAGTCCCCCATCCCCCTAACCAAAAATTAGTGCCGTCCCAAACATTTTAATTAAATAAAGCTAATTTTTCAAAACAAGCATAAGCCATTGGGGCAAAACGTAATTAATTTATATAAATTGTTACAAAAGAACTCTCAAATGAAGAAAAAAAATGTCTTCGCTGAACTTGGGGTGAGTCCGGTCCCGGGTTTCTCCCCACGCTCCCTCTTCCAAAATACGTGTTTACCCTGTTGGAAGTTGTTTTTAGAATCACAACCAAACAGGCTGAGCTTCCACTAATTCTAGTTAATTTACTTTTCTCTCTGCATTGGATTATTGAGCAGAGGATAGAGGACAATATTTGTGGCACTGCAGTCAAGTAGTTGACTTACAAAGGGTGGGGGAACGTCCTTTATTTCAGTGCTCACAACTCCACATAGTCTACAAATAATTCCGATCTGCTCGTTGAGCCGAAAATCATGATGACAAACTTTGCTTCCATTTTTGGTTGACATATGTTGTTCAGTTGCAGTTCTTAAGTTTGTGTCCTGTAACACAAGAATCATGTCAAGCATATTAGGAAACAAAACCAGAAGGCTTTATATGTATACAAAAAATAAATATGGGAGGGGAACCTAGCCATTTTACCTCGTTGTCATCGAGAAGGTAACATGATGCCAAGGCAAGTTCCATTTCCTTCCATAGCATATCAAGTTCTGACAATTCTTCCTCTGGATTCGTAGAATCTTTATCATGGCGCTCCCGCTGACATGACTTGTTTGACTGAAATTCTTTCCACTGATCCATAATTGGGGGCTGTTCCTTATTAAGGGTCGCATCGATGTTAGACATACACCTCCTAATCAATTCCCTATACACATTGGCACTTATGGAGCCTTTTCTAAATGATCTTATGTCATAAACACTGTCCCTCTCGGAAGGAGGGATATCCCGTCTTTTATATCCTCTTTTTCTTGAACCTGTCCCGCCTTGTTTAAGATCCAGACCCATGAATTTCAACTTGGAGACTTTCGTTTGACCAGCCCAGCGCTTCGTTTTCATCAATTTGAATGAAGATCTGTTCATATGTATGTTGGAAGAACCGTTCACGTAAATATATCTGGACACTATTTCATTGATCTCTGCAGATATATCGTCGTCAACTTCAAACTGAAGCAGATTATCGTCTTTGCGAGCAGTGTAATGTTTCTTAGAAGATGAGTGATGAGGAACTATTGCAAGGTTTGACTTGTCACCACTGGCCCGCTTCGTCCCGGATTTCGTCCCATTTTCATGCAACTCGTTTTGGTTATTCAAGAGAGACTTATCGTGATCACCTGTCTTCATTGCATGGTCAGCTTGAATTGAGAGGGCCATTGGTAGTACTTCTTCCACTTCACTTTTATACATCTTTCCTCCCCCAAGTCGGGTAACCTCAATGTCAAATTCAGTCAAATATTCATCACACCCCATGTACCGTTCAGGCTGTACGAATCTACGCTTTGACCGACGCAACTCGTCATACACAACAAGTGGGCCAGCCGCATCCAGTCTCCTCTCAGCTGTGTTAGGGTCAAACTGTACAACAACGGGGGTGGAAACATCATTTTCCACTTTGAAATTCATGGCATACGAATCATAGGCTGAATCTGGAGCGTCAATGTCATTTTCATCCTTCAAGACCTCATAGACAAGCCGATTGTGGATCGAGCGGACATCAAAGGTTGCTTCCTTATGAATGGATGCGACGAGGAGCCATGTGAGATCGGTGCAAAACTTTCCAGTGAATAACTTAAACGGCAGCAGGGCACTACAGTCTTCTGAGAAGCTCCAACGGTAATGCTTGTCTTCATAAGGTTTGAGCTCAAGTTTCTGAAGAATGGAAACATGCTGAAGTTTGACCAGTTTGACCTCTTTACTTAGCGTTTTCTTCAGAATTGGAGGCGGACCTTGTGTGACGTACACACTAATGTGGAACTGGCAGTCACATCCAAAGCCATGAGGTTTCCTTTCTATGGATCTTATTTTTGCATCAATCCATACCTGCAATTATATTGTACATTGCCACACACTCACACATAAGTTATGAAATGGATCCAACGAGCATTAACAACTCGAGTTTTCGGGTACTTACAGGTTCAGGTTCTGTTTTATCATCCGCGTCTTCCTCCGAATCAGAATCTTGTGTTTCGTGTGGGGTTGAAAACACACATATATCGAGCCCAGGCCTTAGAAAGCAAGCACAATCAGAAGTAGTGGCTTTCCTAGACCTTATTCTAACGTTTGATATTGAAATGTTCTCCTCAATCAAGTCCCCTTCATCTAAAATGTGCATCCCGAAGGTCCCATGCTGAATTCTTATGCGCTCTACGGGTTGCCATGATCCGTCACGAAATACCTCAAAAGCTGCAACAAACAAAAGGTATGATTAACCCTAACTCCACACTCAAACCACATGACAAACATATAGTTCAGACTACTTGGCATTGGTTAGTTAGGACAAATTGCATTACCATAGTGCCTCCCGACATAATTACAAACGACGAAAAAAACTCTGTATGTAATTCGATTATGAAAATAAATGGAAATTTTAATATTTAAACAAAAGCCAATAAGGTAAAACATATGAAATTTTTGTATCCCAATTAGTGTGGCAGTGTGCATGTTTGCCTTCATTTTACATTTTATGATTAAAAAAAAACACAACCACACAAATGCCTCTGATTATACAAAGGAAACTTCTTACGATAAACATCAAAAGGATGTTGATTCTGATGAATGGTTCTCCTCTTCATAGCTGCTTAAAGTCAGAAAAATCCCTGCCAAGAATCACCAATAATAATATCATCACACCAATTTATTTATCTTTAATGGCAATTGGGATAATAATTCCAGTCCCTTTTTGTTAATACAAAAATAGAAAGCAAAATCTTCCAATTCTAACTTTATAATCTCTGTATCAGAAAAAAACTCAATATAGGTAATAAGAAAAATAGTTCCCTGTTCTGCTTGAAACAGAACAATCCCTGCATTCTTTTCCTTTTAAAGCAAACATTTTATTAACTAATAAGGGGTAAAAAGGATGCATGGTTTACTCCATCACTATAAAGATCCATTTTTTAATGCCATATTTAGTTCCACAGAACACCAAACAAAAACAAAAATGATCATCACAAGAAATCATCTACTCTTCAGATTGTTTTATTACTGATTTACTGTCCCCTGCTATTTCTTGCTAATTTCAAAGAATTAAAAAACCAAAAAATCATTTTTTAACACTCTCTGTGACTCTGGCTCTCTCTGCACGTATCTAACAACATAGATACATAAGAGAAGGTGTTTGGGTATGGTACAAACTCGCAACCAAAAAAATTCTTCCCAGAAGCAGTAATGGCGGTACAGCTAACCCACATTAATTATATTTATTTTAATAAACATATCAACTGAACAAAAAAAACCCAAAAAAAAAAGAAGTAAAAGGAAATCAAAGCTGATCCCCACTGTTTCAGTTGTCCAGAATTGGGCTTTGATATATCAAAACGGAGAAACTATTCTCCGGCCATCATCAGCTAAAAATGATGGTGACTCTGGCTAGTCTCCGGCCGCCGCCGCCGCAAATTTGATTATTCCCTGAAACAACAAACACCCAAAACAGAGACTGATCAAGCAGAGCCAGTCAACCCCAGCATCTGCCAACCCGCTGCCGGAGACAACCGGAATTCTTGGATTCCGGCGGCGAATCACAAGAAACAGAAAAAATAAAACGAAACAGAGAGTAGTCAGTAGTGACTCACTTCTAGGGGTTTGTACTTTCTCTAAGTAGCTTTTCTTTTGCATGCGCAGGTAAAAAGAAAATGGGGGAAAATGAGAGAAAAAGCTTCCATTGGGGATCGCGCTGTAAATGTAGATGAAATCCAGGCCCCCATTCCAAATATAGGATAAAAAATTCAGAGACAGATTTTTTTTATCAGTTAAAATCTTTATTCAATTTATTTATCAAAATTGCGTGATTTCTGTACATATCAGTTACGGGTGTAAATAATTCAGAAACGAGAAGGAAGGTAGCAGTAGCATAATTTTTTACAGCTGTCGCGCGAGATGATGGCATAACAGTAAACGGTAAAATAAATGAATGATAAGGTAACATTTAATCACTGAGTGACTCTGTAGTGTGTAATGTATGTACTTTTTACTGCAGAATACACGTGATGTTGGACTGTAGAAATTTCTGTTACTGTTTTGCTTTGTTTTTAGTTTTCGCTTTTACTGCGTTTAGACTAGGTCTTTAGTTTGGAGTTTGGACTAAACCCTATTTGTATTTAACTAAAAATATTTGACAAATAAGTACTCGTACATGAGTATCATGAGGCAGCCCCGGGGATGGGCCTGTGGGCCTGGCATGAAAGAGTCATACATCCCATGTTTCCTAAAGATATCACGAGAAAGATGAATGAGTGAATACATTTAAACTTAGATCTGTTCAATATACTATCCTCCGTTCCATAAAAGTTGCAACAGTTTGACTTTCACGTTTGCCAATGCGCAACTTTGACTGTAATTATATTTATTTATGTATTAGTAAACATTAAAAAAAGTTAATATATTGGAAATTTACATTAATACAAATTTATTAATATTTTATACATAATATTTTTATTATATATATTATTAGAAAATCGTAGTCAAAATGAGGTGTGTGAATAGTGCAGAAATTCCAATGTTGCAACTTTTATGGAACTGAGGAAGTATATACTTTTTGTACAATATATCTATGTATGGATGGCATCAAAAATATGTTTTGTCACATTTAGAGTGTATACTTTCTCCCTATTCACCCTTGTGTTTCTTCTCATGCATGAAAAACTGCGCAGGAGTGAAGTAAAAGAAATATGTACATGCATTTCTATGAATCGCGCGAAAGTAAATCTGTATACGCGTGCGCGCTTTTCTGTATTGCATGAATGTAAATTTGGCGGAGTAAGCTGAAAGAAAAAACTGCTCAGAAAGGAAGTAAAAGCGATCCACGCGTGCGTTTGAATGGGATGCACGAAAATAAACCTGACATGTTGACTGAAGGAAAATAACCGTGAAGAAAGGAGGGAAATTCAATCCACACGTGCGTTTTTTGTAAATCACATGAAAGTAAATTTGACGGTGTTAGCTGAATGAAAAATGCGCGAGAAGGAAAATCGGTCCACATGCAAGTTTGTCTGAATAGCACAAAAGTAAATGCGATTGTGTAAGATGAAAGAAAAAAACGGAGGATAAAGGAAGGAAAAACAATCCACACGCGCGATTGTATGAGTCACGCTCTCGTCTGTCCAATGTTACTGTGTGGAAAACATGCACCATCCGTGCGCTTCAAAATCAAAATATAAATGCAACAATTATGTTTCATTTGAGAGTGCTTGTACAAAGAAACTATTTCTAGCCGTCTAAATTGATACATATTGAACTGGACTTAGTACCGGCGCGTTGCACGAGTTTATGATTAAATATCAATAGTAATACATACTCAGTATTATAATTAACTTAAATATCTTTTTTGTGAAAGGAAATAGCATTTCATTAATTAATTCAAACCCTCAGTATGTAATTGAGAGACATTAGAATCAGGCGGATTACAAACCTTATAAAAACCATCCGACATAGAAAGAGCAACACTAGCTAGCTTATGAGCTACTACATTTGTGGATCTTCTACCATAACCAACTTCTATCCCAGCTTCATTACGAAAACTGAATCTTATATCTTCCAAAACAGTATCCAGATAAGAATCACCATCACGTTGCTCCAGTCCATATGCAACCACAAGAGAATATGTTTCCAACTCTATTCTTTCCTAGTTCTGTGTTTTTACCCATGGTAGAGCCTCTATTCTTTCCTAGTTCTGACTTTCGCTGACCAACTTGCTCCTTCCATGCTCCAGCCGCTTCTTGTGAATGTTCTTGTGCATCTCTAGCCACCCATGTCCATGCCATCTTATCAAGAATAAAGCCTACTGGACTGGAATATTAAGAATAAAATGATCGAAAAATAAATTCAGTTCCATTATCAGTTCTAATAGTTTTAATTTTTGTATTAAAATGAGTTAGAATTAAATTGTAGAAATTGAGCATATAAAATTTAACTTCAGACTTGTTTTTCATCATAAAAACCCATGTACATCTAGTATGATCATCAACAATAGTTACGAAATGTTTAAAACCAGAATAAGATTGAACTCTAAAAGGTCCCCATACATCCATGTGAACAAGATCAAAAGGATTAGAAGCATAAGAAATACTAGGAGAAAAAGGCATTTTTTTTTTTGTTTAGCAAAATGACAGATATCACAAGAATCAGTCTTATTTATATGATGAGAAACATTACAATCAACAATAGTATTGAGTTTATTGTAAGGTAAATGGCCTAGTCTATAATGCCAAATATCAGAATTAGAACATGAATCGTTGAGCATTATTGTAGATCAGCACAATCAATCATTTTGTTGGTGAGAAGATCCTGCAAGGTAGCATGATTAGAAGAAAAATGAACAGAAATGTTTTCATGCAATGCTAGGCTAGATATAGAAATAAGATTGAAATTAAATTGAGGAACATATAGAACATTATGTAGAGTAAGATTATTATTTAGTTTAACATGCCCAAGACTAATAATAAAAGTAATCCAAGTGAAGCAGATCCAGTCGAGTAGGCTTTTATTCTTGGTGTTCTGCATGTCCAGCGTTGCATCCACATTAGATCTGCATTGTTAAATAGTTTAACAATCTTATAGTATGGTATAATAGTCTTTGATGACTTAAAGTCATGTGTATCAAACATTTGTACAACTGACAAAATTGATCCGTTTGGTACCTTATAAATCTTAATACTTGTGTCTAATATTTTAAAGATAATACTACCTAAAATATGTTTAAACTTTGTGATGTTATTATTCAAAAAATAATAATATATGCACAATTTTTTCATGAATTGTACGAGTATACGTTAATATCTTAACTTAGTAAATAAATTAGCATAGTTGACTAGTGTGCCTCTCTCATAATAAAAGACAATACCACCATATTTATGCTTAGTAGTTATCTAATTGGGCGCTTCTAGAATAATCTATAGCTTCCCTCCTTTATAGCTATTCAATAATAATAATATAATAATATAATAAGAGTACTCATACAGGCTCTGCCCTTGACAAATATTAGACTAATTGTGTATGGTATAAAAAGTAGATAGAGAAGAAAGACAATAGTTGGAAAGAGTGAAGAGATCATAGTAAAGAAGTTTGGTGGAATTTGTGTGTTGTTTGGTAGGAGAAAAATGAAAAAGAAATGTATGAAAGTTCCATTAAAATCATTTTCACATATTTTTTCTTGGTTTATACTGATATACGGATTATAATATAAGTGTCATTCTATCACTTCACTTCAACTATTTTCCTACCAATTCTTTTCTAAACCAAAAAAGAGAATTGCATCATTGCTTTTCAATTTTCTTGCTCTTCATTTTTTCAATTCTCATTTCAAATCAACCAAAAAAGTACGACCAAATCTTAACAATTAACACCCCTGTTACATATAGGTGAGATATCTCCAACAAAATCCCACAAACATCTTTATGTGGTTAATTGGTTAGCTTTTGAAAGGAAGGATTCTATACGGTCATTCTTTAATTTTTCAATACTTAGCCAAGTACATCCACTCTCTCAAAAAATAATTTCCCATTTGATTTAATATGTCTGTTAGAATTTGAAAGTTTAGATTGAGATTCATATAAAAGGAAAAAAACAATATAGACCATCTATTTTTTTTTATTAAAGTGAGCATAAATTGAAGCTTTTTCGAAATGAATGAGAAAGGAAATGCTATTTTTTAGGGGGTGAAGAAAGTATTTTTTCGTATCATTTAAAAAACTTGATCCTTGATAGGATGACGATATTGATTCATGGATGGTGCATTCTCGCATTAATTATTTGGTAGCAAATTTTAGTGAAGAAATAATAAGCATTTATGCTGTTTTGTCACTTACCGTTGGATGAGCTATTTATTTAGGCAATAAATACTTTTCCCAATATAATTTTGCATTGAACGAAAAGTTTAATAATGTCAAATTATAAATTTATAATAGTAATTTTTGTATTAGAATGTTAAATTGGTTTTACTTCTATTTCAAAAAAAAATACATAAATTATTCTTTTTTAACAAATATAATGTTTACGAGTTCCAAATAATGATGGTACCATGGACTGCAGCCATGGCCCAAATACGGAATCATAGCAAAAACCCATAAAAGAGATTAAGCCCTCGACGGGATCAGCCCATAAACAGGATTAGCCTTTAATCAGTATTAGCCCTCTACGGGATAAGCCCATAAATGGGATTGATATTGATTAGCCGTTGGGCCTAACTAGGAATCCTACCCGCGAAAGGAACACACAGCCAGGCAAGGCTGGACAGCATACCTCGAGCATGGGTAGAGTTCTAGCGAGGTCGGACTCTTCCTAGGCCTTATGTGGCAGGCCATCATTTGTGCATAGCTATCTAGCAGCAGGCAGGAATAACGGAAGAAACGTGGACCTAGAGGAAGCAATCATTGCACAACGGCCAAGACGTTACAAGACTCTCATGTAATTAATAGCATTTAATGTATCGGTTTCCTCTTAGAATACTACGGAGTAGTTCCTAAGGTTTATAAATACTTCATGTACTCGTCCTATCAAGGGACCGGATTCCGAATTAATAATATACTACCTTACGCTGCCCATATTTTCATCTGCTCTGTTAGATATAGCTCTTGTAGTTGGATTAAACTACATCATTTGGTGCTCTCATTGAGAGAATGATCTACGACGAAGATGGTTGGATCACACAGTCACAACCGTGTTCGTAGCAATCAAGGTGGTACACGTTTTGATCAGGTCGTGATCGAGGACGAAGGTTCTAGGTCGCGATGAAGCGATTTCCGGAGGAGAAACAATAACGTGGTGACTCCGGGTGACTTGAGGAACCAGCTTCAGGGGGTTGGAAGTTCTAGACGTCCGGCGACGCATCTGCCACAGTTCCAGACGTCAACTACCGGGAATCTCATCCCAAACGTGGATCCGACGCAAGCTTTGGCGAGTTTGGCTACGTTCCAGAGGACCGTG